GGAAATTTAATGAACAGGTTTAAGCTGTATAACATTTTGAGAGAATTGCTAGGAATCAAAGGGATCAACTATAAAACCTATTGTAGGTATTTCCAAATGAAGTTGGCATGTTTTGGTGCTTTATCAAGATGTAGAACTTTTTTGCTGCATTTATTTTTATATTGGGTGAACAGTAGAAACAAATATTCACTGTTTAATGACATTTCTTTATATTTAATATGGTCTTACAAGTTAAGTATTTTATCATATTTTACATATATATTATAGAAATATGTATATAACTTTATGTAACTTCATTATTATTAAAACTAAGTTTTGATTATGACTTAAAGGCTAGATTTAGATTAGAATTTTGGGAGAGCTCTTAGAAATTCCAGGTAAGAATTAGATTCCAAATCATAGCACTGATTTATTTTTTAAGTTAGAAAAATACTTACTTCATGATAGCTCTTGTAAAGTCTTTGTTTTCTCTGTCATTTAGGCAGGGTTTACTAGACTACAAACTGTGTCTCTCTGGGATGCCATTATATGCTATTCTTTGCAGTTTGCTGTGAGACTTTTTCTTTTTTCGGTCTTGGTATTCATATTCCCAACAAATTGCCATAATATAAGTAACTGAAATTATGTCAACTGTATTTTTAAAAGTTACTTTAAGATTAAATATATTACTTAGAAAAATCACTGGGAGATAATCTTGGTATCTATGAATATGAGGAAGAGGCTGTGGCCCCGTTTTAATCTAAGCTTTAAGAGAGAAAGGGTGATTTAAATGGGATGATTTTATATTTGACATGGGGAGAATTCTCTGGATGTTGGAAATTTTTAATGAATGATGTAGATTGTGAAGAATTCTTTTTGGCTGTTTTCTACCTGAGTATACACTCACTGACTTGCCATTTAATTTAGCTGCTGCCTTACTAGGGGCATCTGTTTTGTGAACTCTTGTGTAATGGAAAGTATTGTATGGCATTTTAAATCCTAACTTTAGTATTTTTGTTCTTTCCTTTTCTTTAGGAGGAGCATATTATTTAATATCTAGAAGTCTAGGGCCAGAATTTGGTGGTGCAATTGGTCTGATCTTTGCTTTTGCCAATGCTGTTGCAGTTGCTATGTATGTGGTTGGATTTGCAGAAACTGTGGTGGAGTTGCTTAAGGTAATTCACTTTTCTTTTAATCATTCATTTACCAAATCTTTATTGAAGGCTTATGTGCCATCATGTCAGAGGTTAGAAAAGCAGTGATGTGGTGTCCAAGAAACTGGTCCTTCAAGAAGTTTAAGTATGGAAGATAGACAGATGTTTGCATTATTAGAATGCCAGCAGTGGATGCCTGCAGGAGGCCTTGGCAACATGATGGAGGAGCATTTACTCATTAGGAGTGGAGGTAGCACGAGAGTGTCAATGAACAGCTCTCCAAGGAAGGGAGTCTAGACACTAGCAGGCAAATAGGAAAGGTAAGGTGGTATGAGGAGAATAGGGAAGAAAAGCAAACAAAGGCCACCCTTTCCGGAAAGGGTGGAGTGTAATGTGTTAAGAAAACTATAAATATTTCAGTATGGTTGGAGCACAAAGTGGCAAGATGTTTGAAGACTAGAGAGAGAAAAAAGCATCACATTAGGAAGGGTCTTGTTTGCAATTAAGTTTGGGTTTTATCTTGGTTGGGATTGGGGGCCATGACATGCTCGGATTTGGGGCCTAGAGAAGTATCTGACCGTGGTATAAAGAATGGATTGAGAATCACAACTGGAGACGGAGACCATGTAAAAGGTTATAGTAGCTGTCTTGGGAGAGGAGATAGTAGCTTATGTTACTATTGTGATCATGGGTGAATTTGAGAGATTTTAAAGAAATTGAATGAGTAGACTTGATTAATGGGATACTGAAAATTAGAGAAAGAGAAAGGAGCATTTCAAATCTACATGCAAATTTCCAACTGGGGGATTTAGATGGAAGATAATGCCATTCATTGTGAGACAGAGAACATAGGACAGTTTAGTTTTAGATGTGCAAATTTGAGGAACGGCAGGGATATATCCAGATAGAGCTGGGAAGAGGGCATTTGATAATACCGCTCTGGAGTTCAGAAAACTTGTTTGGAAAGTCATTGGGATGTGTGTAATTAAAGAAGTAAGGGTGAGATAGGATTCCTCAGTATTATTAAATGAGAGGAACGTTGAGTGACACCTAGAGTTCACATTAGGTTAGGTTGTAACTGTTTTTTCTACAGTAGTATATATATAGTACATTAGGAAGTGTAAAATCTGTAAAGGACTGACCCTTACATTGGCATTGACCTTTACCTGTGTAGGCCAAAGGGATGGAGAAAAAGAAGGACTGTAATATAGTAAGCAAGCAGCATAATTATTTGAGTTCACATTCTTTCATTGTTTAGTGTATGTTTTTATTTGGCATTCAAAGTTTAAGGTTTACTTTGAACTCTTATCAGAGTGATTAAGGTTTAGAAATGATTTTGTTTCATGGAAAGTTAAATTGAGAAATCTAATCAAATTCCAAACAAATATTTAAAACTAGATTTAATATGTAAAATATTGAGGCACAGCTATAGTATTCTTTTGCAGTCACAGTCCATGAATCTAAAAACCAATCAATAGACAGGTACTTATACTACCACCATTTTTTTCTTCTGCAAGTAAATTCTTAGATCTGCAAGTAAATTCTTAGATATGATTATCTAAATGCTGTAGGGAATGTCAGATTAATTCAAGAGATGTCAAATTGACCTTCAGAAAACCTGTAATTAAACTTTTTGCAAAGTAAAAGGTGTATACTCTTTTATGAAGTCAAATGGGATCCTTCAGATTCAAAAAAGCTAAGAAATGACTCTCCCTACTATATTCGTTAAATATTATATTATTTCCCATGCCTTTGGTTGGCAAGAATTTCTTTGGATCCTGGGGGGTTTTCTCTCTAATTTTTGTATTTAGCTCATTTATCTGGAATTCAAGCAAATTTTTTTCTCCCTGGTTGACTTTTACAAAAAAATATTTTTTTAAAGAGCATTTATAAAATTGTTGTTAAAATCTTGTATACTCTTTTTTAGTTGATATGATACATTCTTCCTGAGTTATCAGAAATACTGAGTTATATTTTAGTTTTTTGTGCTTTTTATTACCTTATTTGAGAAGTGATAGTAATTCACAAATAGCTATTTACCTAGTTTACTAGGATAGCACAGTCTTTAACTAATTTTAACCTAAATGGAAACTTTTTAAAAATAGAATGGGAACAGTGTGTGTTTTTGAACAACAGCATGAAAATGTGTTTATTTCTTTTTCTCATGCAGTATAAAAGACCATTAAAAGCATGAGTTCACTAGTCACAATGAATGTGAAATATATTTTTGCCATGTAACTTTAAAAAATCCTAACTGCAATACTAGTCATAATTTGTGTGCTTGTTGGCAATTTCTTTTGCTTTACTGAGCCTATATTAAATAGCAGTGTTAATTTAATCATACATTTGATGTTATCAAATACTTAAATGACACCTCAATAGTATTTAAGTGATTCATTTCTTTAGGTCTTCCATTTATTTGTTAAGTAAACAACTTCTACATGTAAGGTGCTGTGATATTTCTAAAATGTTTCAAAAAGAATTTCAGAGTTTATGTAAAATAATTAATATTGCTCATTATATATATAACTATCTTTTCTAGGAACATTCCATTCTTATGATAGATGAAATCAATGATATCCGAATTATTGGAGCCATTACAGTGGTGATTCTTTTAGGTATCTCAGTAGCCGGAATGGAGTGGGAAGCAAAAGTAAGTCATGATAGGAACACCTGTAAATATTTCATATATGAACTTTTAGAGTTTGTGTTTTGGTAATGCTGTAAAGTATGGTAATATTTTCAGATTCTAGTGGCACCTAAATGGCCATTTTCACAGAAGTTTATGTATGAGGTTATTTTCTACTTGATAAGGTAAAGAATATTTGGAGATAACACTCAGTTAACACAGTACTTTCTAAATTTTGAATTTCCCATCTTCTTGCCAATTCCCCGATCTTGTTTTACAGTAAGTAGATATGCTCAGGAAAATATATTATATAGCCCAAATTAAATATTTGGCTTCATAATTTATATTAAAGTTTAGTTTAAAAATAAACATGGAGCAGTAACTGAAAGGTAGTACCCATGTGAAGATAGAGAAGCTATTCTTGCTTCTTGCTATTGAAATCTCAGAAGTCATGACTACCAAAGCCAGTGTCATTGTCTCTGGAAAAAATTGCTGAATGTCACATGTTACCTATAGGCAGAGCACCCAGAATTGTTTCTGCATTGTTGAGAATTAGAGTATGAGACAGCACAGCTCTGGTTTCCTGAGTAATGGATCCACAAAGATGTTTACTTTTGTAGATTTCACAGAAGTCACGTATTTGTGACTTTTGTATGATAAACTATTTACCAAACCAAAAATTGGGAAATTCTGAAAGAATAATTTTTTCCCCAGCTTGTTATATATTTGAAAGTCATATTAATGTAAAATTAAATCATTTATTTACACATTTAACAAATTGACCTTATTGAGAAGAATAGTATTTCTTACTACCTGGGACATGATCAGCATATAAGTAGTTCTTGTTCTCACAAATGACACAGTTTTTCATGAGTGTCTGCTCAGTTTTATTGGGAGATTCAGAGTGAAAAAGGGAGGTGGTAGTTCTCATAGATATTCTTTCCTTCCAGTCCCATTGCTACTTGCATTCCCCTCCTCCACATTGTCTTCTTCTTTCTGTACTTTGTCTTCTTTTTCTGTAGCAATCACACATTCAGCATTGTGTTTGGACCTTGTATAAAACTTGTGTTTGTGACAAATATATTCTCCACGTCAAGACTATAGTGCTAAGGTAGAAGAGACAGGAAATGAATGATACAGGATGGTGTAAGCCTGCAGTGCTTTGGAATTTACAGCGTCTTTATGCTTTGTGGGAGGGCATGCACATCCCCAGTATATTGACCATTTTAAGGTATTTCTTTAAAGAAATGTTTGTTCATTAAACAAAAATGTATTGAACACCTACTTGGTGTTTGGCCCTGTTTGAGGTACTGTCGATACAGGTGAACAGAAATCCTTTCCCTTGTGCAAGTTATATTCTAGTAGAATTGAATCAAAGTATAGACACAATATATTTGATTTTGATTTTTAATGTTTAAAATTACAGGCTCAGATTGTTCTTTTGGTGATTCTACTTCTTGCCATTGCTGATTTCATCATAGGAACATTTATCCCATTGGAGAGCAAGAAGCCCAAAGGTTTCTTTGGTTATAAATGTAAGTAAAAAAGATTGAATTCTTTTTAAGCGTACATATTATAACATTCTATTATTAAATAAGTTTAGTACATTTTAGGTATTTTGTAATGTAATTGAATATGGTCTGGTATTCACACTAATTTACAATTCAGTTTAGGTTTATGTGTGTTGTACCGTTGGAGTAAAAATCACTATTTATATCTTTCATTTTTTATTATTGGCAGCAAAAGATGATGGAATATAGAGAAATCAGTGCTACTGAGAAAAAGTGCTTTTGTTCTCTACTAATTTTTTGAATTTGTAACTTTTGTTCTAATGTGTCTTTTTCATTCTTTTAGATGTAGTCTCTTGGTGTGATTGTGAAATTTTTCTACAACTTGTGTGAGAATTTACTTGTCATTTTTTATTTCCTAAAGTTCCTATCTGTATCCCCTGCCCCCATCATCTTCCCACTTGATTGGGCAGCTCTGAATCTGTCTCTGCAGGGAAAATGCAAGTTGGAGAGAATAAGTTGCAGCAGCATGAGAGAGGCTTTTCCCTCAAGTTCGTAGGTCTGTGTATCTTCATTTGACTGACCCCCTTTTTTAAGCCCTAGAAAAAAAGGCCTAGCTTCAGTCCTCCTGAGTTTTCTTCCCCGGAGCTACTCAGTCATCTGTGAAAAGATGTGGAGTATAAATCAATGTTCTTCCTCTTTCAGAAAGTCTTACTGAAAAATAAAATCAGCTCAACTGAACTACGGAGGCTAGAGATTTACATTCTGTAAGCTCCTGAATCTTGTTGCTGACTGGTGACAACGTACAGTCCTTAGTTCAATCGTTTGTTGAGTAGCACTGGTTTGACCTACATCTGACACTGATTTAGTTGGCTGGGCAGTTTTCTGATACGAATTGTTTCAGGTTCTTACCTTAGCCAAGGGCACCCACTTATTATTTGTGCCTACTGGTCCTAGGTTTATATTATGATTTCTGTTCTGATTACTAGTGCATATGCCTACTTCTAAAATGGGCTTTAAATTGCTGATTTCCTGGATTAGGGGAAGAGGTTTCTACTGGGAGTGCCAGAAATGGAAGTTAGTAGCGTCAGTTAGGTAATTTTCTGTATTTTGTGCACTCGTACGTCTATTTGTGACATTTCTAGTTATGAATGATTTTTTTCACTTTAATTTTCTTGTATTATACATTTTTTGGAATACTTGTTTTTGTCACTTTTATTCCTAAAGGAAGTGTTAAAAATTATAGTGGATGGTTACTTCTAAAAATATTCTCAATGATTATACAAAAATTATATAATAAAATTATACAATTGCTTATGACTTTATTTTAAAATATCTGTAAATACCTGCTAAGCCACATTTTTCATTTTCTTTTTTTCAGATCTCTGACAACTTATGAAAGTTAGTTAATAGTATAGTAATAGTTTATATTGCATTCAAGCAACACATCTGGGCTATCTCAATGTGAGGTTAATCTAAGCATTCTTTGGCATGTGACTTTATTTTTTGGTGCTTGGTACTGCTTGGCTCTCTTCTTATTTGTTATACTAAGGTACGTCTGTCGTGAACAGGTTATATTGATAAAGTTGTCAGTTCAAATGACTACTTAATAGCGGTATTCATTTTCTTTTCTTTTTTTCTTTCTGATATGAGAAGTATTTCTCTTTCATCAAAGACTAGTGCTTCTGATGTGTTCTGGATCCCATTTCTTTTACTTTCTCAAAGACATTTGTCTTTTGGTCATCTGCTTGCTTCCCTGTGTCAAAACTTTCACCTCTGTACAAGCTTAGAGACTTGCGGTAGTAATTCCCATCCTCGAAAATGCTGTCTCTTGTTTTTTATTCCCTTCCAGTTACCACCTCACTTTTCAGTTTCCTTTCATAAGCAGATTTCTCAAATCTTCATCTTCTACTTACTCCTTGTTATTAAAAAATCAAGTCTACAGAAAACTTGAAAAATAATACAATAAACTCTTTACACCCTTCACCTGGATTCACCAGTGATGAACATTTTTATATCCTTTTTTCCACATTTGTTTTATCACTCCATATATATCTACTTATTGCTATGATTGCTAAGCCTTTTGAGCTGAGCTAAGTTGCAGAAATCATGACTTCTTACCTCTCAATACTTCAGCTTGTCTCTACTGAGGAAAAGAGCAATTCAGGAGGTTTAACTCCGGCACAGCACTAATATCTAACATAACAGTCCATGTGCAAATCTTTCTACTTGTCCCTGTAAAGATCTTTATAACAACTTTTATTTTTTCCTAGTCAAGGATCCAATCCAGGATCATATATTGCATTCAGTTGTCATGTTTCTTCACTTTTTTTTTTTAAATGGTTCTTTACATAATTTTAATTCCCCTCAAATCTGGAACAGCTCCTTAGCCTTTTTTATCTTTCATGATACTGACATTTTTCAAGAGTACAGTCCTTTTTGGAATAAAAAAAAAAAAAAGACAGGGTCTCCCTCTGTTGCCTGGGCTAGAGGGCATCATCATAGCTCACTGCAGCCTCCGACTCCTGGGCCCAAGTGGTCCTCCTGCCTCAGCCTCCAGTAGCTGGGACTACAGGCACGTGCCACCATGCCTGGCTAATTTGTAAAAAATTTTTTTGTAGAGATGGGGTCTTGCTATTGCCCAGGCTGGTCTCAAACTCCTGGCCTCAAGGTATCCTCCCACCTTGGCCTCCCAGTGTGTTAGGATTACAGGCGTGAGCCACCATGCCTGTCTCATTTGTTTTTTAGAAGGTTCGTATAGCTGGGTTTGTCTGATTTGTTTCCATAGATTCAGGTTATTCATTTTTGTCAGAATCACTGTGTGACGATGTGTTCTCCTCAGTGTATCCCATCAGGAGGGCACATGCTGCCGGTTTTCCCCATTCTGATGGTGTTAATTTTGATTACTGGCTGAAGGCCGTACGTATGCAGTTTCCCTATTACGAGGCTGCCAATTTCTTCTTTGTAGTTAATAAGTAATCTGTGCAGGGGACTTCGAGGCTGTGCACAGCCTGGCACCCATCAAACTTTCAAGTGGTTTTTTCCTTAGCCCCTCTGGTCTGGATTCTGCCTGTCAGCGTCACAATCACATCGTGGTAGATTCAATGTGCAGTGTTTTCATTCTTTGCCTCAACAATGCTCTTAGTTATGCTCTTGAAACTCTTTTGTTTTATTTGATGTCAGACACCCTTGGTGTCCTGCGTAAGTCACTGCTGCTATGTCTGTTCCTCCTACTACCCCTTCGCGCCTTCCTGTCCTTTACTTATTTATTTTTTCTTGTTTATTCACATCCTGCACTCCTTTTTGACTTCCTATCCTTTAAATGCAGAGTTGCACAGAATATGATCCTGGCCTTCTACCCGTATTCTTTACCTCAGTGGTATCTATTTTCAGAGCTCAAAATATTATCAAGAGCCTGACATGTTTCTGTTCCTGAATCTTTCCTTGTCAAGTCCAAATATACATCCAGCTGATTATTTGATGTGTCTCCTACTTATTCCTTCTCAGGCTTTTTCATCTAAGTAAGTAAAGGAAACCAGGACCTCAGTGTTTCCTGTTCCTACCTGCTCGTCTTAACTTCTAATCCTTTCTCATCAGCACGTTTTCCTCCTATCCCTAAATTAAACCACTGCGGCAACCTCGGTCTCCCTGCTTCAGGTGTTGACCTTCGGTCCGTTGCCCACACCGCATCCACACAGCGTCAGTCACAGTGTGTCATTGTGTGTTTCTAACCCAGCCTTGGCTTTGTATTTTATTTAGGATACAGTTTAAACTTTTATAAAATTTTAGATAATCTGACCTTCACTGTTCTCTCCAATCTTATTTAATTCTCCCTCTTACTCTAAGAGTTCTTTTATTTCCTCAAAAGAGCTAAACCTTTTCCTGCCTTGGAGTCTTCATATATGTCGGTTATTTTTGGTATACTCTTTTCCTTGATTATCGCATGGCTGTTTCTTGCTCAATAAAGTCTCAGCTTAAGTATTATCTCCTTAGTTATTAATATATTTGTTTCGCCTTCTGTAACCACATTGAATTGGATTCTCTTTTATTCGCTGTCGCAACACCCTGTTTTCATCAGTATGTTTACTGCCGTTTACAGTGGCCTGTTTCTTATTTTGTAGCTCCCCATTGAGACTCTTAAGTTCCATGAAGGCAGGAACAATGTCTAGCTTGTTTATAAGGTATCTCTAAGCACTTTGAGATACTAGGTAGCTCTAAATCAGGACCTGGCACATGGTAGGTAGGTACTTAAATATTGAATGGAGGGATGGATAAATTACAGTTAATTGGTTGTTTTAGTATCAGGTTCTATCTTTTAGAAAAAATGAAAACAATAGGACTGGTTGAAACTTATTGTTGAAATGGAAAAGATCTTCACTTAGGATGCCTTAGCTATAATTATCTGACAGCCTCGAAAATCAAACACGTCACCACTAGGCAATGGAGAAAGCTGTGGACCAAAATCTGTACAGAAAGTAATGTAAGCTGAAAGTTGTGGAAAAAATGGCTCCTTTTTAGCATGATATTCCTTCTGTTACCTTACCTCCCTTGTTTCTTTGACCTCGAGATTGAGAGGGTTGTCCACACTTTGATTTACATTTGGTCTGGTAATAAAATCAAGTCAGAGGCTCTTGAAATATATGACCCAGATTGGATCGTCATTTTGATTGTAAACCATTCCTTCATGAAAGAAAAGAAGAATACCAATACTTTATTTAGGAAATATGTAAGAATTTACCACTTACGTCAACCAAAGAAAAGTTAGGAGTCCTATATACCAATTACTCTTGACCTAAACCGTTATGGTCTAATCTGTGATCCATTAATTGCAGAAATGTTTTGTTCTCCACAGCTGAAATATTTAATGAGAACTTTGGGCCAGATTTTCGAGAGGAGGAGACTTTCTTTTCTGTATTTGCCATCTTTTTTCCTGCTGCAACTGGTATTCTTGCTGGAGCAAATATCTCAGGTGATCTTGCAGTAAGTATTATATTGTATCAATTATATGTAAAAAAGTGGTATATGTATATTTATTTTTAAAGATAGACTTAAAAAAATCTTCTTGTCTTCTAGGATCCTCAGTCAGCCATACCCAAAGGAACACTCTTAGCCATTTTAATTACTACGTTGGTTTACGTAGGAATTGCAGTATCTGTAGGTAAATAGCCTTACATTTCTTTATGTGTTTCAGAAATTTCATGATGTACATACTATAAATATTTCATGACACTTTCTAACTTTTAAATTCAGAAATATTTCAATAAAAAGGCATGAAGTTTTTTATGTGAATTCAAAAACAGTTTTAAGAAAACTAATAGTGACTTTTATAGACATTATCTGAACCACCAAATGCTTTATTATATCTCCTCCAGGATTTCTATTAATTATAGTAAATTAGAAAATTATATAAAATCCTATCCGTAAACTCTTAAATTTCACTGAGATATGTTTATAGAAAACATAGTTCATGTGTGGAAGCAAATGAATTTTACTCTCTGATCTACAAATTTCTGAGTATGTTTGTTTATGGTAATTATTTGTATTTTTATATAATTTTATTATATGAAGATTGTTTCAAGGTCATCAAGCATTGCCTGCCTTTTTTACTACAGAAACACTGATTTTGAAGAACAGGACATACTAAGTTGAATGAAAAGTTTTACTAAAGTCTTAAATTGAATGAAAATGGTTTTAAAACTATTTTATTGCATTCATGGTCTCATAGCATTTTAGAACTTGGAAAGACTTAAGTGATCAACCAGTCTCTCAATGCCTGTTTTATAGATGAAAGAATCGAAGCTCAAGGGATTTTACTACCAAAGATAATGATGCTAGCTTTAAAGAATTTTTTTCATGGCAAGGAGTTTTTTGGTTTTTTAAATCAAGTCTTTAAAGGCTATTTACAACGTAGGCTCTTAAAATTTACTGGAACATTCTAGTTCAAAAAACTCTATTTAAAAATTTATTATGATTACTATTAATTTACATGCAATTTGCATACAGTGACTGCATAAATTGTTCGAGTTTATTACACTTTCATGAAACTGTATACTTTCAAGAAAATACTTTCTTAAAAAGTAAGCATTTTTTTAAATATCTAAACTCTAAAAGCCAATTTTTACGGTTACATTTCTTAAACATAATACAAAAGTATATATTAGTCTAATACTAAAGAATCATGAACTCCGGGCTCATAGACTCCATAATGCAATGTCCATTGTATTTCAGTAAGAAAATTTCATTTTTGCCATATATGCACTGATTTGTTAGGGAGTAATTACAGAACTATATTTACAAACTCTGCTGTTATTTGCTTAAATGTAATTTTGAACTTTCACTACATGATAGTTAGAAATACTAATAATATCATCATGGTGGGCTAAACTGACATTTAAAGAGGAATTTGGTTTTTATATGTCCTGACAATCCATACACACACACATGTATCCTTAGCAAGATAGATGTGTTCCCCTAAAAATTCCCAGCATGCTTGTATACGTTATGTATAAGCTAGCTAAAGAAAATTTAGTCTTAATTTAAAGAATGATAAAACTGATTATGTTTTAACTTGTAAAATAATTTGTTACGGCAGATAAACATTTTCTATTTTTACTTAACCCTCTAAAATTCCTGCCCCTCATACTCAGTGTAGACTTATTCTGTCTACACTGGCCCTTGGAGCAATAAAAGTAGCCCCTTCTCCCTGATGTTCAGTAGGTAGGCCAGGAAAGATAGCCTGTATACCAGTGGTTATTTAACTAGTTCAAAGCAATGGAACCCTTTCCCCTCCCAAAACTGCAGGTATAGAACATCAGAAAATGAAGTACATGAAAACATAGCTGCTTTGGGACTAGTGGGAGCTGCAGGGCTCTGCTCTCCCCCGACCCTTCAATGGTTCAGAGGTGCTTTTAGGTTTTGCAGACATTGCTCTGAAAGGTAGATGAAGAAATTGAAAAATGAAGAACTGTATGTAGTCTGTGTAGTCATTAAAATATTCTCCCTTTCAAACTTAGTTTTCCATTTATTGTTCAGTTTTTTCTATAATGCCTAAAATATTAACCCGATACATGATGAAATAAAACGGTTAAAGTGCTTCAGAAACTAAAAATATGTAAAGTGTAAGGAATGGTAATTACTATTAGTTGTATGTTATAATGAATGATGAAGTGCTTATTTAAGGTAATTTTTGAAATATTTCATCATGGAAGTGTTTGGTTTATAGAAAAGTAGAGCATTTTCTATAATAATTAGCCCAATGTCACCCAACTTCAAAAAAGTTAGAAAAAATATTAGTACATGGTTAATCTTGCTTCATCTATACCCAGTCAGTGCCCCATGGATTATTTTTAAGCAAATCTCAGATACCGTATATTTTCTTATTGTCAGGGTAATTGTATTTGAGACAAAAGTTTAAATAGAATTATAATTCATTAATATTCAACTTGTTTTTCCCTCAGAGAAGATTGATATTACCTGAAGTCTGATTTTTGGCTATATTTCACCTGTAAAATATTTGGAGTATAGGAAAACATTATTACCATTTTTTAATACAATGTTTTTATATTTACTTAAGGTCATCTTAATCAAATAGGCCAGGAGACAGTTTTGCTAATATACCATTTTCCACAGCTATATTTATAAGGTTTCTAAGTGTATATGTATAAATACTATTCTTTATAAAAGGTTCAGTTTCACTCCTTAAATATTGGGGAACACAATGCTTTCCAAATTCTGTTCAAGGTAAAGCTATCTTAACTAAAAATGCTGTGTATGCTATTATAAGTGAGTGTATATATGCAGTCAGTGCTTTGATTCCTTTATGAATATATGTGATTCTGAAATGAATGTGGATGTTAGCTGTATTATTCTCATTGTCATTTGTATTCCAGGTTCTTGTGTTGTTCGAGATGCCACTGGGAACGTTAATGACACTATTGTAACAGAGCTAACAAACTGTACTTCTGCAGCCTGCAAATTAAACTTTGACTTTTCATTTTGTGAAAGCAATCCTTGTTCCTATGGCCTAATGAACAACTTCCAGGTGAGCATCGAATTTATATGATACAGACATTTGATATTTATGTAGGGGTCAGACAGCTATCAGATCTGACCATTCAGAATAGAGCCATAACTTAGAAGGGAGGACTATTGTTACTTTATATTCCCCAAAAATGTAGATCACTAATTGGACAAAGAGAAAACTACAAAAGGATTAAATCTGAGGCTGTTCAAGGATAAAGGGCCCCTAAGGATAATACTTTTATAATAGAGTATAAGATACAGTGTGTGTGTGTGTGTGTGTGTGTGTGTGTGTGTGT